AGTTAGAAAACCTCTCCAAGGCTTCTAAAACTAGAAAAACTGTCGAATTTCGACAGTAACTGGCACTCCAGTACAGTATTATAGCCCATTAAATTTTTGTGTAACAATGGGCTAGTTTCAAGTGGCTAAAAATTACCGTTGATTTTTTATAATTTTTTGCCGAAAGNATTTAAAAACCAAAAACACCATTGGAAAGGTAATTTTCTGTAGATGAGGATAGTTTCTATAGTTTCGAAATTGGTTGAAAATCGTCGTTTAAAAATTTACATATTTGTATATGTTTNACCAAAATGTTTAGATAGTTTTCGAAAAATGTGGAGATGTCAAAAGTAAAAATTTATAAAGGTATCCAAAGTTTTTACATTTTTGAGTTATCGAAATTTATCGAGCCATCGAATTTCACAGTTATCGAAATTAGTCGAGTTAACGAATTTTGTTGAGTTATCGAATTGCAGTCTTCTTGAAATTCATCGAACTATCGATGTGTATCAAATCATTGAAATTTATCGATAAACTTGAATGTATCGGGTCAATTCCAAGTCCTGCCGAAGTTCTCCAAAGACCTTCTCAGATAAAAAAAAATTTAGTTACGTTTTAGCAGAAGATTTTCCGGTTAGTTAATTTGTACCGTATAAGTTTTTCTACGTGTTGAGTTAGAAAACCTCTCCAAGGCTTCTAAAACTAGAAAAACTGTCGAATTTCGACAGTAACTGGCACTCCAGTACAGTATTATAGCCCATTAAATTTTTGTGTAACAATGGGCTAGTTTCAAGTGGCTAAAAATTACCGTTGATTTTTTATAATTTTTTGCCGAAAGTGTGTAAATATTTTAAGGAATTTTAAAAGAGCACTTAAAAGGGGAAAATTATAGATAAAGTGGTAAATGGGGTACGAAAAATTTAGGCACTTAGGAGGGTTGGGTAAATAAGCGGGAAGGTACTTAAGAGAGGGATTTTCTTCAGATTACATTCAAAAATTCTTATTGCCCGAAAATGTTGGCTACTTAAGCTGGTTAGGTACTTAAGCGGGGGGTACTTCANACTTTGAAATAAAGATAAATATGAAGGTGAAGAAACAAGTGATAACGATGAAGACAAAAAAAAAGGCAAAAGTGAAGATAAAGACGAAAATGGAGATAATGAGAAATACATAAGAATTAGGTTAACAGAGTTGAAATTTTCCGATAGGAATTGAAATTAAATCAGCCATAAAGGTTACTTCAATTTATCGAATCATCGAAGTTTGTTATTATCGAAATTTATCCATGCTTATTAAGTTATCGCAACGTATCGAATTATTCAAACTGATCAATATTTATTGAGTTGTCGAAATTTATAGACACACAAACTTAGTTGTCCAAATTTACGGATAGTNCAAAGACCTTCTCAGATAAAAAAAAATTTAGTTACGTTTTAGCAGAAGATTTTCCGGTTAGTTAATTTGTACCGTATAAGTTTTTCTACGTGTTGAGTTAGAAAACCTCTCCAAGGCTTCTAAAACTAGAAAAACTGTCGAATTTCGACAGTAACTGGCACTCCAGTACAGTATTATAGCCCATTAAATTTTTGTGTAACAATGGGCTAGTTTCAAGTGGCTAAAAATTACCGTTGATTTTTTATAATTTTTTGCCGAAAGTGTGTAAATATTTTAAGGAATTTTAAAAGAGCACTTAAAAGGGGAAAATTATAGATAAAGTGGTAAATGGGGTACGAAAAATTTAGGCACTTAGGAGGGTTGGGTAAATAAGCGGGAAGGTACTTAAGAGAGGGATTTTCTTCAGATTACATTCAAAAATTCTTATTGCCCGAAAATGTTGGCTACTTAAGCTGGTTAGGTACTTAAGCGGGGGGTACTTCAGCGGGTTTCACTGTAAATATTTTCTATTTCGCAAACGTTTCTGTAAAAATCTTTCTTGTGGATAGTCCATGGCTTTTATTAGCAATTTTCATACGTCTGGGCATGCTCTAAATTGAGTTTTCTATGAATTCGCTTAGACTATTACCTCAAGTTTTGGAGCAACTGATTAACAACAAATGTACGGAAATAGAAACGAGTATTGTTTCAGATTGTAATACATTTCTGGAACATAACATTGGAGTGAGAATTAATGCTATGAAAAATTAAATCATTAAGGAAATTTCTAGTGAACTGCAAAAATGTAATGACTTGGTAAAAAACATACAGCCTGTAATTAGTAAGGAAAATGCCCCAATATCATATGCCCAAGCTGTCAAAACAAATGAAAATAAAATTGATATAAAGCCCTTAAACCAAAAAACAAAAACGTCAAGGAAACAAAAGAGGCGTTGAAAAAGGTAATCGAACCCACCGATGGTCTGGTTAAGACTGTGAAAGAAATTAATAGAGGGGGAATAGTTTTAGAATGTAAAAATAAAGATACTTGCGAAAAAGTGCATCAAAAAATAAGAGATAGTATTGGAACGGAGTTCCAG